TGTTTGTCGAATCCACCTGTGATGGTCCCACCGGAACCAGGAAGACCTTTGATTCTTTATTTGACAATCCTGGATAATTTATTTGGATGTGTATTGGGTCAGCATGACATCACTGGCAGGAAAGAGCAAACCATCTATTATCTTAGCAAGAAGTTCACATCTTATGAGGTTAAGTATACTCCCCTTGAGAGGACATATTGTGCCCTGACTTGGGTAGCACAAAATTTGAAGCATTATTTGTCATCCTATATTACTTACCTCATTTCTCACCAGGATCCTTTAAAGTACATCTTTCAGAAGCCCATGCCTATAGGGAGACTTGCGAAGTGGAAAATTTTGCTCACAGAGTTCGACATTATTATGTGACTCGGACCGCAATGAAAGCTCAAGCATTAGCCGATCATTTGAACGAGAACCTGGTGGATGAACAACATGAACCTTTGAGGACTTAATTTCCTGATGAAGAGGTAATGCATATCGACGAGGTCGAGAAGGATGAAAAGCCCGGTTGGAAACTCTTCTTTGATGCGGCTGCCAACATGAAAGGCGTTGGGATAGGAGCTTTACTCATTTTTGAAATAGGGCATCACTACCCTATCACAACCCAACTTCGTTTCTATTGTACCAACAACATTGCCGAGTACGAAGCATGCATTTTGGGTTTAAGGTTAGTTGTGGACATGGGAGTCCAAGAAGTGCTAGTTTTGAGAGATTCAGATCTGTTAGTACACCAGATCCAGGGAGAATGGGAGACTCGAGACTTGAAGCTCATACCGTATCGACAATGATTGCAAGATCTCTGTCAGTGGTTCAAATCAGTGGAGTTCAGGCATTTCCCTAGGATCCACAATGAGGTTGCTGACGCCTTGGCTACTCTGGAGTCAATGTTACATCATCCATATAAGGCTTATGTTGACCCTTTGCATATTTAGGTCCGCGATCAGCATGCTTACTGTAACATGGTGGAAGAAGAACTTGACGATGAACCTTGGTTCCACGATATCAGGGAGTACATCAGGTCGGAAGTATATCTAGTACAAGCCACAGGGGATCAAAAGAGAACAATTCAATGTTTGGCAAGTGGATTTTTCTTCAATGGGGGAGTTTGTAAAAACGAACTCCAGATCTTGGATTGTTGAGATGCATAGATGCTAGACAAGACACTACTCTCATGACCGAAGTGCATTCCGGAGTTTGTGGACCGCATATGAGTGGGTATGTTCTGGCAAAGAAAATTCTTTGAGCAGGTTATTATTGGCTCACCATGGAGCGAGATTGTATCAGTTTTGTGCGCAAGTGTCATCAATGCCAAGTACATGAAAATTTGATTCATTCGCCGCCATCTGAACTGCAAACAATGTCCACACCATGGCCCTTTGTTGCTTGGGGAATGGATGTCATCGGACCAATTGAACCAGCAACATCCAATGGGCACAGGTTCATTCTGGTGGCCATTGATTATTTTACTAAGTGGGTTGAAGCTAAAACATTCAAATCTATGACCAAGAAGGCAGTGGTTGATTTTGTGCATGCAAATATCATTTGTCGGTTCGGAGTCCCACAGGTGATCATCACAGATAACAGTGCTAATCTTAACAATCATCTGATGAAAGAGGTATGTCAATAATTTAAGATTACGCATCGCAATTCCACCCCATACCTCCCCAAGGCGAATGGAGTAGTCGAGGCAGCCAATAAGAATATAAAGAATATACTGCGGAAAATGGTGCAAGGTTCTAAGCAATGGCATGAGAAGTTGCCCTTTGCTCTGTTGGGTTATCGCATTACTGTTTGCACTTCGGTAGGTGCAACTCCTTATCTATTGATCTATGGCACTGAAGCGGTGATACCCGCGGAAGTTGAAATCCCATCCCATCGGATTGTTGCTGAGGCCGAAATTGATGATGATGAGTGGGTAAAAACCCATTTGGAACAGTTGAGTTTGATCGATGGGAAAATATTGGCAGCAGTGTGTCACGGCCAGTTGTATCAAAAGAGAATGGCGAGAGCATAAAACAAGAAGGTGCATCCCCGAAAATTTGAAGTGGGTCAGCAAGTATTGAAACGCATCCTTCAACATCAGGCTGAAGCAAAAGGCAAGTTTGCCCCAAATTGGAAGGGGTCGTTCATTGTAACAAGAGTGTTGTCTAATGGTGCTTTATATTTAACATACATAGAAAGCAAATGTGTAGACATGGCTATAAATTCTGATGCAGTCAAAAAATATTATGTATGATTTCTTTGGTTTAAATTGTTGTTTGTACTTGGTATATTTTGAAGATTGGAATGACGAAGACATTTTATTCTAATATCTAAACACTTTACCCTTTGATACCCCTTTTGAGCCTTCTTTTTTTTTTCACACCCATATTTTGGAATCAGTAGCAAAGTTTAGAAACACGGACACGAAAGGTAAGAAAAGAATGGGAAAGAGTGTAAAGAAAAGAGAGAAAAGAAAAAAAAGAAAAAAAAGAAAAAGAAGAAAGAGAGAAAAGAAAAAAAAGAAAAAAAAGAAAAAGAAGAAAGAGAGAAAAGAAAAGAGAAAAAAAAGAATAGAAAAGAAAAAAAGAGAGAGAAAAGAAAAAGGAAAAGAGAGAAAGAAAAAGAAAGAGAACAGTCCCTAAACAAAGCAATTCCTATTTCATGAACTATGTTCGATCTGATTCCTTTTAAGGATACGTAGGCAGCCTCACGGTTCGGTCCCATCAAAATAAAAATTCAAAAGTCCCCAAGAAAAGAAACTGGGTCAGAAGTTGTGGTTGTTGTAAGAGATCTGACTCCAAAAGTTATAATTTTGAACCCATTCAAGCTGTTTTGAGCCTTTGTGATACCTTTTATTTCTAACCCTATCCAAAAGCCCACATTACGGTCCAAAGAAAGACCTTCCGATGAGTCTTTGTGAGATGCCGAGTTGAGCAAGCAGAGGTGATTCATATCAGGGGCAACACTCCGTTCTGAGCAAGAAAATGAAAAATGAGAGTCTTATTGGTGAAAACCCTTACGGGCACCGTAAGGCGATGGAAAGTTGAGAGAAATTGAAAGAATGAGAGAGTCTTATTGGTGAAAGCCCTTACGGGCACCGTAAGGCTACGTTGAGTTGAGAGATGAATAAATGAGAGAGGTTTGCCGGTAAAAACTCTCAGGGCACCGCAAGCCGAACAAGGTTGTTGATTTAGAAAATGAGTCAAATTATGGGGAACCCCTGGAATAAAGTGTGAAGACTGAAAGAGGATTGACTGAATGGACTAGGTTGATTAATCCAAAATGCATGTCATGATCATTGATGCCGGCAGCTTCACTCAGATAAGTCCTTTTTCTTTTACTTCCTCAAACAGTCCTTCTGTTTTGATTCTTCTTCTCTATTCATAACTCTCGAAGTCATTGCATTTCATTTCCTTTTGGGTTTATCCCTCTAGAGCTCTTTCATGTTAAACTTGCTAAGAAAAAGAAGGGATTGCAAAGTTTACTACTAACTGCAAATTGCACAAAGCAAAGTGCGGTCAAAGCATGCCAGAAATAGCATGATGCAAAAAAAAAATGAAATGAAAGTATGGTGTTAATGAAAGTTCAAGCGGTCGGGTGGTTTGTAAATTTTGTGGAAGATACAGAGGTTCAAATTGGAAGGACAGAAATGTAAAATAACAGGTTGGGTGTAGAGCATTCAGGCTGTTCAGGGTCCTGCGTTGAGATTCAGTCGCAAGTTCAAGGCAGATAGTCAAAAACAAAGCATGGACACGAAAGGGCCACCTTCAGCAAGAATGCCGCAAACTAACCACCACATCTTTAAACTGACAAGATTTTTCTTTGATTGAAACATGGGTAGAAAATTTCATTTGTTTCGGAGAAAGCCTCTGTAAGGAATGCAAGTACCGGACAGGTTCAACCGTAAATTCTCTGGACCCTCCTGGACAATGGGACTTAGTTAAAATTCATAACATTCATGAGTAGCAAGATCTAGCATAAGCTCTACTTTGAGGAAATATAAGTTGGTTTTGAACTTTTCATTCTTAGGACGAGATTCAATTGGAAATTTTCTGGACCTTCCTGGAATACGAGATTTAGTTTTTAAGACCTTCATAGATGACAAGATTTAGCGGAAGCCATACCTTTAGGAAATATAATTTAGCTTTAAAGCTGTCATTCTTAAGATGATATTTAACTAGGAGTGTTCAGGACCCTCCTGGATAATGAGATCTAGTTTTTAAATTCTTTGAGATTTTCTAATAACAAGCATCGGTTAACACTCACAGATTTTGCCAATATCAAATTGGGGCAGAAAAATTTCTTTTGTTTTTTCTGTTTTTGTTGAAATCAGGAGCCCACCTGAATAACCAGGGAGGACAACACGAGTTTCAAGAATAGAAAGCAGTTCGTGTTCAAGCGATCAGGCACCCACCTGGAGAAACAAGGGAAGATGGTTCAAAGAAAAGCAGTTTCAAGAAGGGGACAATTCAGTGTTTGAAATCAAGCACCCACCTGGAAAACAAAGGGATAGCAATTCACATTTTGGAAATCAGGCGCCCACCTAGAGAACAAAGGGATAGCAATTCACATTTTGGAAATCAGGCGCCCACCTAGAGAACAAAGGGATAGCAGTTCACATTTTGGAAATCAGGCGCCCACCTGGAGAACAAAGGGAAGACAGTTCAAGTGCTGGAAATCAGACACTCACCTGGAGAACAGAGGGAAAACAGTTCAAGTGTTGGTAATCAAGCGCCCACCTGGAGAACAAAGGGAAAGCAGTTTAAGTTTTGGAAATCAAGCACCCACCTGAAGAACAAAGGGAAAGTAGTTCAAGTGATGGTAATCAGGCGCCCACCTGGAGAACAAAGGGAAAGTAATTCAAGTGTTGGTAATCAGGCGCCCACCTGGAGAACAAAGGGAAAGCAATTCAAGTGTTGGTAATCAGGCGCCCACCTGGAGAACAATGGGAAGTAGTTCAAGTTTCGAGGAAAAACAGTTCAAATGTTGGAAATCAGGCGCCCACCTAGAGAACAAAGGGAAAACAATTCAAGTATTCATAATCAGGCGCTCACCTGGAGAACAAAAGGAAGCAGTCCAAGTTTCGAGGAAAAACAGTTCAAGTGCTGAAAATCAGGTGTCCACCTAGAGAACAAAGGGAAAACAATTTAAGTTTTAGAGGAAAGGAATACAATTGGAGTTCAGCAATCAGGCGCCCACCTGAAAAACGAAGGGAAAACAAGTCAAGTTTCGAGGAAAAGTAGTGCAATTGTTAATCAAGCGCCCACCTGGAGAACAAAGGGAAAGCACCTCAGAATACAATTCAAGTCAGCAATAAAGGAAGCTCACCTAGAGAGTACAAGTCAATAGAGCAGCAGAAACTGCAAGATCAAGTTTGAATAAGTGTGGATAGGATTCCTGTAATTCATAGATCATAAGTTTAGTCCAGCTTCTTTTTATTTTGTCTTGGTGTAAAAAGGGGTTCAACAAGCAGTAGCAACAACAACAACAGTGAAATCACAGCTTCCTGGTAGTTCCTACTACCGAAACTTCCCAAACTATACTGACCTGATTCTTTTAGCCAAGGATATATAGGCAACCCGGAAGCAGGGTGCGGTCAAATTTTTCAAAAGCTTCCCACGGAGTATCCAAATGGGTAAAAATCACTCGTATCCTCTCACTTTATCTTTGCACGAAAACTCTTCGTGTTTCCAAGCAAAGAGGGGTAGCTTTGAGCATGTGATTTTGCCCTATGTGAATTACTCTCATAAAATACAAGAAAAATAATTTTTTCCATTTTTACAATTTTATAGAATTTTGTGGAAATTTGTGCTAATTGTTTGCATTTCTGCGCATGTTTATTTGTGTTAAAAAATTATGAAAAGCCAAAAATACCATGCATTGAATTTAGGTCATTTTTTATGTTTAATTAGTCAATTATTTGATTTATTAAAATTGAAAATCAAAAATTAGTTTATTTTTGCATTTTTAGCCTTTTAGCATTAAATTAGTAATTTCTTCTTTTAATTTAGGAGTAATTAACTTTCATAAATACCTTAGTAAATAATTAGTTTAATTTTACAACCTAGTTTAATTTAAGAGTCTTAATTAGGTTTTTAATTAATTGAAAAGGAAAAGAAAACAATTATAAAAGGAAATAAAAGAGAACAAAATTGAGAATTTGATTAAAAGACCCGAAATTGGGCCAGTTCAATGAAAAAACCCAAACCAATCCTTCTACCCGCCCAGGCCCAATCCCTAACCCGGTCCAGCCCCAACCCCAAGCCAAACAGTGTCGTTTTATTCAAACGAATCCCATCCGTTGATCTTCTTCTCATCGAACGGATGGGAATTGGTCACTAGGACAATATAAGAATGTCTGAACGAGCCCTACCCCCCAGTTCCATCTGCTTCATTTCACACCTCTCAGACTCAGAAACCAAAACCCTAACCACCGCCCTAAATTCCCAAGCTCCTACCGGCCGGCGGCGGGCTCCAAACCACCCCAAATTCATACCACGCAACCCCCAGGCCCTCCTAAATCCTATCCCCACATATATTTCCCAAAAATCCCAATGAAATTCCCCCAATTCCAAATCTAGGAATTTCAAATCCTAAATTATTCTATTTTTCTAATTCCGCGCAAGTTCCGGCTCGCTTTGACCTATAGCCTATGTTAGTCAATTGCTCTTAACGAGAGCAATCGATTGGCATTGGTTTTAGTTCATTCCGAGGATGCCGGATTTTGACGAACTCATCGGATTCCGGCCAAATATCTACTCCCATCATCATTCGTCGATTTGTTTCATTTTGTAAAGACATTCCGGCGTGAATTGATAGTTTCCCCTCTTTTTTCTCACGACTCTGTCCGTTGTAGTATTTTCTGTTATTTATTTATTTATTTACTTTTATTAGCTTCATTGTTTTTGTCTTGTTTTCTTTAGTAGTGGAATGCATCTTATTTTTGGTGGTTAAGTTAAGTTTAATCATATTCTGGATTGTTTTTTTTTTTTTCTGAATTTGATCCTTTTGTTTGAGCATTTTTGATGGTTTGAGTTTTTGTATTAACTGTGGTCATCATTGACCCAGTTGAGAGACCCGTTCATTTGGGTCTTGGGTTAATTTGACCCAAGTTTGCATTCTGAATGTAAAAATAAGGAGGTCAGGGGGCATTTTGGGCATTTGAGGGTAGGGAATCACTTTCTGTTGGGAAGAAGCTTCTAGAGGTTAAATTTGGAGCTGGTTTGTTAAGAGATAAGGAAGGGTCAGATATTTTAAAGGAGTAAAAAGGGTAAAATGGCTAAGAAAAGCAGGGGCGGGAAGGGAAAATGTTAGCTAGGTTAGGGCTGCCTTAGGAGTGCCTATATAAAGACCTCTTTCATTCATTTTTGAAGCAGCCATTGATACTTTTAAAAAAATATGTCCTGCAATCTTTAGTCAAATAGATAGCATTACAAATCACAACTACGTCACGGGAGCCGTACCCGTAGCCATGATAATTTATTCGGACGCGCCTAAAGCAAGTTACAATGTTCATAAATTATTTTCTAAACTACTTTAGCATTATTGTAAGGCCATAAGAGTATGTAATTTATTGGAAAAGCATGAAATAGATTAATTTAATCGTTCACGAACTAAAAAAGGGGGCAATTTTATAAGATTAATGGACCTAGCAGATTTTCAAGTTTTAGCTCAAAGATAAACTAACTTTCTTTATTAGCTCATTGTAACCTCACAACCCCACTACCTTCAGACAGCCCACGTAGTCTAGGTCTAACAGATTTCAACGTATTTCACCAGTGACCTAATTCTAGTCAAACTTATTTAACAACTTAACTCTGTACTTTAGACCATTAATAACTTGATTATAGGTGAAACTACTAAAACACATTTATCAACACATGAAAAGGACTAAATGACCAAATAGAGACATAAACCTTGCGCAAATTTCCATTTCAATAAGAAACTGCCTTTTATGATTAACATTCACAACTCACTTATCTTTTAGTTTTTAGTAATCTTAATCCAAATTTCATTAAACTATTCTTGGGATGAACCCTTTTAAGAGAACAAGCTAATAAACTTCACTTCACTCGAATACAACTAAAGTTATGTATATTTAGTATCAAAATAAAAATATGAATGACATCTAAAATGAAATAAGGTCAATCACGTAAGGAAACTAAAGTTTCAACACATATCAATAACCCACAACACTTGTATTCAAACCATTATGAAGAGAACATGATGCATAAATAAACTAAAAAAAATGAAAGAGAATGGACCTTAATTTGGCAAAACTTTAATTTCTTGTTTTTTTTTTGTTTTGTCTTCTGCCGTTCGAACTCAAACAAGGGCCAGCGAACGAGACCTTGACAAACTGAACTCAACCGGAGCTTTGACGAAGCTCAAGAATGGTGATTTGATAGTTATTTCTGGGGTTTTAAAGCTGAATTTTAGGCGATTTCTGAACAGATTTTCAGATATGTTTGGATTTGATTTCTGGACTGTTTTGGGTCGAATTTTGGGGCTAATTTGGGGTGAGTTTTAACTGGTTTTCTGCTTGGTTTTCATGGCTATTTTGCTGCCTTTTTCAGCTGTAAATGGTGGTGTTTTGGAGGAACAAAAGGTGAAGTTATGAGTGTTTTCATGATGGAGAAGAAAGGAGGAAAAGTATGGTGGCCTCGTGTTCTTAGAAAAGAAAGCTACTGATAAGATAAAGAAACTTTTTGCTAAAAACAATCAATCTGCCGCTGTTCTTGAAGAAGAAGACAATTTATCTCAAAAAAAATCCTCCTCCCCTTTTGCTTTTATGTGTATCCTTTTTATTGAATGAGAGTGCTTGGGGAATAAGAAATGAGTAGCGTATGGGGCCCTCTGTCAAAAAACGGATTCCTCATCCGTGAATTCTTGTTCAGTTATTTGTTAAGTAATGTGTCACGTAGTGATAAAAATAATAACAAAACAAGAAACAAAAAATAAAAAAACATAACAAGAAAAAGATGAAAGAAACGTAACAAGAAAAAAAGGGTTAGTAATTTGTGCCAACAACGTGAATTGGTGTAGCAGGATAAGATGAAATCTTCATTTGTCTTTTCATTTCATTTCAATTGTGTAAGGCATAAAATTTACAAAAGCATCTACAATAATTAAACTAAAAAATGTGTAATTAACTATAACTATGATAATTATTTCACAAAACTAGACTTCCTAAGATTAGATAAAACTAGGTAAAAAATGTATTTTTATATATATATTTTTTGGTAAAACAACATCTCAAGAATAAGAAAGAAGAAACTGAAATCCTAATCGTCATGAAATCATATTTAAGAAGAATACGTGACTATTTTTGTTAATTTTTAATTTTATCAAAAGTAAGATAAATCATATGTACCTAGACAAACTTACCAATTAGTTAGAATAAATAAAATATTTTTGTAGTTTTTATTTTTGTGACGAAATAAAGTAAAAAAAGTTAAAGTTAGTTGAAATAGAGATATTAGGTCTAAACTAAATATTTACATACTAAAATATAAAAATCTTGGGGAGAGTCAAAAATCACATGTCTACAGCTGCCCCTATTTGACTGGGAACACGAAGCGTTTTCAGACAAAGAACGACTAGACTTCTTTTTTGACCCGACCCTTATTTGGAGAGACTAAAACTAAGAGAAAAGGGGAATGTGACCGAGCCCTGGTATCTGAGCTGCCTACATATCCTTGGATATAAAGGAATCAGGCCACGTGTAGTTCAGAAGTAGGAACAGTGATGGAGTATACCAAGGTGGAGAGCCGATTGAGGTGCCGTCGAGGTTCTGGTCTGCGGTCACGTTATTACATCAAAAATCAAAATTGAAAAAACTAACTAAGCCTATCAGCTACGAGTTACAAAATTCCTATCTATAAGTCTTCTGAAGCTTGATCTTGATTCTTGGTTGGTTCTTCATGCAGACTCTAACATGAATCTTGATGCTTGTCAGCTGCAGGTGTTGTTTCAATCTTCTTCAGCTTTTTCAGATCAAGACGGGTCACGCAGAGCTTGTGACTTCAATTTTGTCTTGAACAGTCCACATCTTTTCTCGCTTCTGCACTTTGGATTCACTTTTTTTCCTTTTTTTGGTTCTTGATTGAGACTTCTTTTTTTGTTATCTCGGACTATCGACTCGCATTTTTTAGGCGAGCTTCCGCTACTTCTAACTTGACTTGACTTCTGAAATGACTTCCCTCGTTCTCCAGGTGGGCGCTTGATTGCTGAAGTCAACCTGCTTTCCCTTGAAACTTGAAAGGTTTTCACTTGTTCTCTAGGTGGGCGCCTGACTGCTGAACTTGTCCCGCTTTCCCTTGAAACTTGAACTGCTTTCCTTTGAAACTTGAGCTGTTTTCCATTGTTCTCCAGGTGGGCTCCTGATTGCTGAACTTGACCCGCTTTCCTTTGAAACTGCTTTCCCTTGAAACTTGAACTATCTTCCCCTTTTCTCCAGGTGGGCACCTGATACTACAATAAAACAGACAAAACAAAAGAAACTTTTCTGCCCCAGTTTGTACTAGGACGATTTATGAGTTGTTAGAAAAACTATAAGTCACATATGCTATTTGACGAGAGTAAAATTGAGGATTCGACTAAGATGTGCGTCTCTTGTGAGTAAAACCAAGAAAATTTCAACTAGCAAATGCGTCTGCTAAAAAAACCTAAATGACCCAAACTAGGAAGTGCGTCTCCTAGATTTAAGATTGAACTTGCGGAAAACTATAAACTACGCTTAACTAAAGTAAAAACTGACCCTATTCTCCAGGTGGGACCCCTGATTTCGAGAAAACTAAAGATTGATAACTTAAAAAACTAAAAATTGACCCTACTTTTTTTTTTTAGAAAAATCCAGACTTCCTCTTTTTTTTTTCAAATTATACTAGGAGAAAATTCGTCAGACTAAGTTTTCTATCTTAGGAGAAAGATTCATCAGACTAAGACGTCTATCCTAGGAGAAAATTCATCCGACTGAGTCTTTTTCCCTCTTTTTTTGGTATCTTAGGAGAAAGATTCATCCGACCAAGACGTTTATCCTAGGAGAAAATTCATCAGACTAGGTTTTCTATCTTAGGAAAAAGATTCATTAGACTAAGATTTCTATCCTAGGAGAAAGTTCATCAGACTAGGTCTTCTATCTTAGGAGAAAGATTTATCAGACTAAGATTTTGATCCTAGGAGAAAGTTCATCAGACTAGGTCTCTTTTTGTTGGCATCTTAGGAGAAAGATTCATTAGACTAAGATTTCTATCCTAGGAGAAAATTCATCAAACTAGGTCTTCTATCTTAGGAGAAAGATTCATCAGACTAAGATTTTGATCCTAGGAGAAAATTCATCAGATTAAGATGTTTATCCTAGGAGAAAATTCATCCGACTAGGTTTTTTTGTTATCTTAGGAGAAAGATTCATCAGACTAAGATTTCGATCCTAGGAGAAAATTCATCGGACTAGGTTTTCTATCTTAGGAGAAAGATTCATCAGACTAAGATTTTTATTGGGATGGAAATCCATCAGACTAGGACTTTTTATCCTAGGAGGAAAAATGTAAAAATCAATAGCAAGATTTTATGCACAATAGCAAGATAAATAAAGGCAAAGATTTGAGAAACTTCCTTTTGTCGGCTCTTCTCTTCTTCTTCTTCTTCTTCTTCTTCTTCTTCTTCTTCTTCTTCTTCTTCTTCTTCTTCTTCTTCTTCTTCTTCTTCTTTTTTCTCTTTTTTTCTTTTATTTTTTCTCTTTTTTTTTGTTTTTTTTGAACCACTTTACTTGCATTGCTTTGTTCCTGTTTCACACAAAGAGAAATTTGTTAGTTTTGAAAATGGTGGTCGGTTTGTGGCCTTAAGTCTTGAGCACCTTGGCTTTTGCTCGATCTGCCTGACTCAGTCTCAAGAGACTTTTGTTCTGCACAAACGCTGATTGTTTCACACCCAGTACCATTTGTGTTTGCAGCTCAAACAGCCTTATCCCAACTGGAGATCTTTGCTTAGCTGACCTTTTCTGATATCTTGAATGACTTCCTGCTTTTGAGCAATTTGTCTGTCAAAGAGAATCACCAGTTATCTTTGCTTGCACCGAGTAGGCTAACAAGAGTCTTTAGGGGGGGGAGCCTTTGTATAAATCCTTAAGGCATGTTGACTGTAACAATTGAGTGTGCTAGCCAAATTTACTTTGTGCAATTGAAAAGCTGGTAGCAGATTTTGAAATCTTTTTTTACTTGTTTTGACAAGGACTGACTCAGAGTGAAGGACATAATGATGCAAAAAACAAGTATTAACAAGAAATCCCCCTGTCGGAAGGACAGAAGGAAGAATTGTTTTTTCTTTTTTTTTCCAATAACTAGCCTTAATGATCATGACATGCATTTTGGACTTAACAACCGATCTATCAAACTGACCTAATCTTCCCTTTTATCATTCTTATGACTTTGAAGTCGGGCTCGTTCGTGCCAATCCTTTGCATCAACTTCACGACTCATTTTCGACTAGTGGTGCCCCGAGAGATTTTCACCAACAAGTCTCTCTCATTTATTCATCTGTGCTTATAGTCGCCTTACAGTGCCCTTGAGGGTTTTCACTAGTAAGACTCTCTCATTTTCTTCTTTATTTTCTTTTTCTTTTGCTTTCTTGTGTGAGCAACTGACAGTGTTCTATGCCGCGTGACAACTGTTGCTCATTACATGCATTTCTTAGCATTCTTGAAGGTTGATCAGGAGGTCTTTATTTGGAAGGCTTTTGGATATGGGTTGGAAGAAAAGACGCCATGAAAGCTCAAAATAAACTCAAAGCAAAGGGGGTTGTAGACTTACAACTCTTGGAATCAACTCTTTCGAAAGTGAAATAAGATCTTTGCCCCAGTTTCAGCTATTAAGGATTTTTGGATTTATTTTTTTTTTTGCTTTATTTTTCTTTGAATTCTTATTTGGTTGGACCGAACCGTGAGGCTGCCTACGTATCCATTTTTTAAGGAATTAGGTCGAACGTAGTTCAAACATCTGACCTAACTAATTGTTTTTCATTTTTATTTATGTTTTTTTTCTTTTCTTTTTTTTTCTATCTTTTTTTCTTTTTGTTTTCAAAACAAGTTACCTCAGCTTCTATTATTTTAGAGCATGGACTTTTGACAATTCTTTTTTTTTTTGAACTTTCTAAAAGCTGCCCCAGTTTGTTGGGGCATGAATTTTTTTTTCCTTTTTCATTTTTTTTGTTTTGACTTTTGACTCTAAACTTGATTCCAAAAGAGGGTGGTCAAAGAAAATAACACAGGCTCAAAGGGGTGACAAAGGGTATAAAGTGTTTGGGTAGCGGAAAAAGGGCCTCCCAACCTCGAGAATGCCATGTGAGCACGTGATTTTTAGCCTATATGAATTACGCCCACAAATTCAAAACAAAATATTTTTTCATCATTTGCAATTTTATGGATTTTTGTGGCATTTTCTGTTAATTGTTTGCATTTGTCTGTGCATTTTTATTTAATTAATGAAAAATACAAAAATACTTGGCATTTCATTTAGGATTTAATTTTACATTTTTGAATTATTCAGAAAATTAATTGTTTTATAAAAAAGAAGAAAGTCACAAAAATAGTTATTTTGCACCTTTTAATTTTAATTTTGATTTTTGAATAGTATTTTTTTAATTTGTTAATTGTGGTAATTATTAAGGTTATTGGTTTTATAACTTAATTTAGAATTTTAGTTTAATTTCAAAAAAAAAAAAAGAGAAGAAAAGGAATTAAAGATAAAATAGGAGGATATTGGAAAAGGGAAAATAA